GTATTGGTATTTTTCACTGAACTTTTAACCATTTTGAATTATTTTAGTTATTTGTATTAAAGTATATAATAAAAAAATTGTGTAGTGTTACTCTGGTTATTGTAGAATATATTAAGAGAGGGAATATATATTTTCTAACCACTTTGTATTTTGCAGGTTTGATTTCTTCCGTGAGGTTATAGCGGATGGGAAACAGTTAGAGTATATAGAAGAATTTGTAGGTCCGTTCTTGTTAGAGTGGCTTCCGGGCTTGTTAGCCTCGCCGCAAGCTGCAGACGCTCTCAGTCTTTTGGTCAATCTAGTCAAGTTTAATGCTGCCTATCTTGATGAACCTGTCGTCACTGGCTATGTCAAGTAAGTTGTGTGTTAGGGTGATTCTAATTGTGTTGTTGACCCTTTGGATTTGATAATATTTTTGTCAATGTCATGACAGGAAGCCAGAGTTTTCTATGGTCTAAACTTCTCCGAACATGCACAGACACACGCATATGAGTGTGCACACATACACACTCACTCAGTCAGTCACTCAGTCAGTCACTCAGTCAGTCACTCACAGTCAGTCAGTCAGTCACTCAATCAGTCAGTCAGTCAGTCAGTCACTCAATCAGTCAGTCACTCACTCACTCACTCACTCACTCACTCACTCACTCACTCACTCACTCACCACTCACTCACTCACTCACTCACTCACTCACTCACTCACTCACTCACTCACTCACTCACACCACACACACACACACACACACACACACACACACACACACACACACACACACACACACACACACACACACACACACACACACACAGAGCGCATGCACGTACAGGGTCTTAAAAAATCTAATTTAAGATGAAATTATGAAGAGTAATATATCGTCTTCATTAAATTTCCAGGCAAGTTGTTGTTCAGTTACATCGGGCGAATGGCGAAACTGAAGCCTTGCAGTGTTTACGCGTCTTGGATGCTGTGTTAGCCTACAGTTACCTACCCTCTCCTGCTCTTCCAACATTCATCATTGCTCTCACGCGAGCAGTCAACGTGCCTCAGTTGACGGCCGAAACTTGGAAGGTATGTGTTCATTATCATCTTTATCTATGTGTTCTTTAATTTGTTTTTGAAAGGTATTTGTTTATTCATCTGTTATTCCATTCCTAGATTGAGAAGATTATTATTATTTTTTTATTTATTTGTTTATTTATTTGTTTATTTTTTTTTATTATTGTTTTTTTTGTGCTTATAATGTTTCACCTTGTGTATGATAGGGAGTATTATGATCATAGCAGTTACAGGTTAAAAGAAATTGAAATAACAAGGAATATATTGTGTATTTTTTCATGTGAATTTCTTTTCATAACATTTTGATATGAATATGTTGATTAGCACTGTTTAGTTACGGCATTTACACTACTTACATATTTGAAATCATACCCTCAAAATGAATCAAGGAACAATCAAATTTTTATATCTTGAAAAAAGGTTTATATAGCTAGATCAATATAGAGATGAAGATCAAGATGTATATACATAACTGTGAGCTTTAAGAACAGATGAATTTTAGATACTGCTTTATATATTGACCTCAAGAATTGATGGAAGTTGGATTATAATTATTCATTCATGGATGATTATTATATCATCATCCCATAGAATGAAGGAGCTTTAAATAAACCTAAGACATTTGACTATTGAAAGGGACGTGTTGATCTTTCTGCAGATCATGCGCAACCTCCTGGGCACTCACCTCGGAAACAGTGGTCTTTACGTTTTGTGCCGATTGATACAGAGCGATGGAGATCCGCACATGGTCCGAGGAGCCATTTTCTTCCTGACTTCTGCTCTTTGGGGAAATAATAAGGTGTCTTCACTAAATTACAAGCCGGCAGCTGTATTGCCAACACTGCAGCAGGTAGTGTTTGCATGTGATTTTGTTGCGTGATGAAGCATTGATTTTTGTGACTGATGTGTATAAAGAACCACTTGGATAAAAAACCCTGAAAAACATTGATTTACCTCTTTAGGAGACATTTAATGCCGGCATTTTTTATTTTTTATTTTTTTAAATCTAATTTTGATTTGAATTGAAAATGGGTGCATTATGTTTTAGATTAAAATTGAAATGAAGATTAAAGGAAGTTTAGAGTAGTTTGTGCTTGCATTCAAATCTTGATTTAGTAGTGAATGTTTTCTCTTAATGTACTGACTTTCAGGCCGGAAACAACAACCATGTGCTAGTAGTGTATGAGGTGGCGCTGAGTGTCCAGAAATTGGTTTCCAAAATGTCCCTGGAACTACACCTGTCCTCCTGGGATCTCCTTTTAGACACCCTTAGCAAGCTTTTTGAACATGCAGGTTCGTTTGGAGATATTCTCTTTTCAGTCGTCTTGGATTTTGATTCTTTTCTCCTTTTGTTTCTATATTGCATGCTTTTCTTATTTTTGAGGAACTTAGAAAATGAGTGACGAATTCTCCATGTGTTCCTTTTTTGTTTTGTTTTAGATTGTTATGTTCTCCCTCTATTCTGTCAATAAAATAACACGTACCAGTTTATCACAAATCTTATGTCAAGGCATTGCAGTCATTTTTAGGCTTAGTATTAATGATGTGAAATATTAAAAGTATAGTCTTGATCAATTTACAAACTATCCTACAGATTTTTTTTATATATGTTGAAGGGTACTGTTGTTCAGTGTTTTTTAGTATTACAAAACATAGAATGCTTTTATCACAAGAAATATTTTTTGGTGAGTTTGTTACTTATCTACCAAGGTCCATGTTTAAATAGACCTATGTAATTTTTTTCACATTAAATGCTTGAGGAATGGAAGAATGTGAATTATATTAAAAGTAATAATGTGAAAATTAAATGAAAGGAAGTAGATGTCTGTATAAAGTATTTTTATTTATTTTATGGGTATTTTCCAGTTGCTTTAGAGGAAAGCCATGAAAAGCAGACTATCCTAACAGTACTGAAGGACACTCTGGATGTCATTGAACAGCTGATTGACCTGCAGCAGTTCGGAGGATCTTTGGATAAATTCTTCTTTCTGATTGATCTCTACGCCCACCTTCGTCCGGTAAGTTTCTGTTATTTTTCTGTATTAGTCACTTGTTCTTTGTTAGTCACTTTCACTTGTTCTTTGTCTGTTATTTATGATCTTTGCTTATCACCTTCACATGTTCTCTGTTTTTTATCTCTGTATTCTTTTCTTTTTTACAGTAATACTTGGTGTAAGTTCAAGGAAGATCCCTGTTATTGACTCATGCTAGGGCCATCTTGGGGGACTGCCTATGATATTGATTATATTTCTTTCACGTACATTACCAAGGGATTTTTTGAAATGTGAAAAAATTCTCATCCTCTGCACTTCCCCAAAAGCGAATGACAATTTTGTAAACTTGATTTGTGGATGGTTTGATAAATGTAGATAAAAACTAGTATAAACAGCCTAATCTGTATAGCTGAGGAATCTGCAGGAATAAAGGGATCTGTTAAAACCTGAGTATCTTATGACTAGCAAGGAAGATGCAAGCTTCTTGAAACCTTATAGTACTGAGTCCGAAGACAGATTGGTTGCTGTTGCATAGTAGACATCCAACCCATTGAATATGATATTGCATTAGACTATCGCAGTCCATAATAGTAAATAGTTCTTAAAGATTAAGCTTATATTTATACTTAACTTTGGTTGTATATGGATGAGGTAGATGAATTTTATTTCTTATTGTTTCATTAAACTTTTTTTCAGGAATCATCAGTCTTACGTCTCTTAGACCACCAAGCCCAAGCCATGGATCCACTGCGTCCACATTGGTTGGCTAATTTAGGAACGCTTCTACACCAGTACTATCGGCGGGACCCAAGGCCAAATATCCGAACCAAGGCGCTAGCTATACTGTCTGATGTGTACAATAATAACAGGTATCATTTTTTTTTTTTTTTTTTTTTTTACTATTATTACTGCTTGTTTTATATAGCAGCAGTAATTTCTATTTCCCAAATGCTTTATATATGCATGTGCTTGTTACTGTATTTTTTTTTTTTTTTTTTTTTTTTTTTCTGTTTTACTCCTCCCTTTGCCAATTTTATATATATCAATTGACACAAAATTTCTTCTTGTTCAGGTACTTGTATGGAACTGACATGGTTAGAAATGTTGTCACTATACAAATGGAAGGCATTGAAACAGAACGGAATGTAGGAGTCAGAACTGCAGCTGTCAACTTGCTGGTTCACATAGCCATCACTCAGAAATCGTCTGTCGTGCCAGATATTCTCAACATGCTGGAAAAGGTACGTACCTCATTTATGACTTGCTGCTCTGATATGGCGAGTTGTGTGCATCAGTTTGAGAATTTGCAGTGATTCAACAATATGTTTTTATTAGATTTATCATGGAGAATATTTAATTAGCTTAGAATATTAAGGAAACATTTGGCTTGTAGAACACAAACCTTCCATTATATTAATTGCTTATTTTTCAGATCGTTATTGCCCCATATTCAAGTGCCGGTGACTGTGTGCAAGTAGTGAGGGAGAGTGAGGCTGCAGACATTATCGCTGCAGTGGCAGGTTTGATAAGGATTTTCAAGAAAAAATTATGGGAATTACCATCATCATATGCCATACAAGCTTATAGGATATTGCTGTCCTGCATCGAACATCATTATCGTAATCAGACTGTACTTGAAGGAGTATCGAGAGTTAGGCTTCAGGTGAGTTTCTGGTGATAATGAGTTCCTGTTTATAGAAATGGCAATGTAGAGAGATGTTTAAAAGCAGCATAAAATGTTAATCTTATTTGAAGTGTTGCTAAATAGATACGAGAATACACAAGTCCTAGTTTAGATGCTAATAGCTTCATCTTGGTATTGAATTTCAGATATTTGAAATGATTTTTGAGATGAGGGCCAATTCCAAATACCAGCTAGGATTCCCAAGGATCAGTGAAAAGAACGGTCAAGGAGAGGAAGACAGTTCCACCTCATTGCTTCCACAGTATTCACCGTACATAGTAGTCGATCATAAACATGGGCAGCTGCTAAAGGATGCTGAACAGGAGCACGGTGACAAGCAGTTACCATCAGGTTGATAGAAATTCTCTCTTCAAAGATATTAGATATATCTGTTTACTTTTCTTCTTTTTTAATGATTATGATATGTTAACTAAGGAAGGATATACTTGTATTGCTAAATAAGAGAGCATAACAGCTTGTGTCAAAAGAATACTATTTTGAAAGAAAAAAAAATCTGCATATTCTCATTCTGTAACTTATCTTCGATTAGTTTCTTATGGACAAAATGCTTTATCATTGACACTAATGGTCTATGGTCTTATGGCAGGTATTGCAAGTGAGGCAAGTCAAGAAGAACCTGAGGGAGCACTGTCCGATGCCACTCCACTTCTCGCGCAGCCCAAGGTGGAGGTCACACACCTGTCGCTAACACAATCTGCCATGACTGTTATTGTAGCTATGAAGAAAGAAAAGGGTATGTGGAATTTCTTGGTTTCTGTGAATAATTAATTTGATACTTGATGATGTTGATTTTATTTCTTCTGTTGGAATGAACTGTGATAATGATGTAAATTGCTTCATGTATATGTAGACTTTTTCTAGTGATCATTCTTGTTAAAATTGTACATTGGTTCTTTCTTGTAGTCTGCACAAATTCAATTCATTTACTATATTATTGACGGATTAAGTTAAGAGTGAGAATGATGAATTATTTTGCATATTTGATATCTGATTTCACTTACTCCTGATTACAATGAGGACAGTGATTCTGATAAACAGTGCTGCTGTTAGTAGTGGATCATGGATGGGAGGGTTTCTACTGTTCATCCTGTTGGTTTTAAAGAGAAGTAGTAATTCCAGTAATACAGATACTTCCCATTTACCCATTATTCATGCTCTTGCGATGTTGAGCAATGATTGTATCTTGATATATTTTATTGTGTACTTTGTATTGTAACATGATATTCAATGTAACCGACTGAGTGTTGCTGAAATGTTTTCTGTTTAGAGTTCATATATCAGTGTTTTTGTCGAAGAAAATTAAGCTGCAGGTAGTTTTGTAGAGTATTAAGTATATGGTATTACTTGTATCACATAGAAAGAAGGACAAAAAAATAAGATGAGGACAGACTTGGGCAATATATTTTCCCCACTGTAATCATGGATGGATGGATGTCTGGGTTTCAACCAATTTGTGTCAAGATTTCAAATCACCACCTATGACTAGAATAATTGTTGCTTTCATTTCATATTTAACACTATTCATACATTTGTCAGTCAGTGAATAACTTCTTAACTAATGTGTACACCAACTCATTTCCGTATAACTGTAGTAAAGCAAGGCTGTACCACATCTCCGTAAATAACCCCAAATTCTCGCTGGCCAGATTGGGAAGTCTTGCGGATGATTTTGGAGCGTGTGCCGCAGGTCCTGCAGAACAAGGCACTTATCCTGTCTCGTGATGGCAATGATATCGACTACTTTGCCGCTGCTCTCTGTGCTCTGGTGAGTAAGGCATTTTTTTGTAGGTATTGACGTTCATTCAGCTTGTGTCTTTCCTCTATGTTTTTTTTTTTTTTTTTTTTTTTTTTTTTTTTTTTTTTTTTTTTTTTTTTTTTTTTTTTTTAAATCTTGAGAGGAATGATAGAATGCTGGTCAATATAGATATCTAGAGGTTTTTAAAATATGAATGCAAAAAAATTAGTTCAGGAATAAGCTGAGTGTTTGTTTGAAATCAACTTCCAGGTTTCAGAGGACACAATTCCAACTAATGCGCGTGCTTTTTTCCTTTTTTCTTTCACCAGGTTACGGAAAAGTCCCTAGGGTTGCCAGAATCTCTACACAATACTCCGGCAAAATTCACCAAGTCAGATTTCCAGAGCTTCGTCTTTCCAGTTTTGGCAACTCTGGCATCGTACCACATGCACTTAGAGTCCGTGATCCAGCAGAAGGTATGCACGGGAGGTCATTCTGTTAGATTATATTTACTTCTCTGTTAGGACAGTGTGTGAAGAAAGGAGAGAAATTTTATTGTTTTTTATTCTTATATTTATTATGTGTTTCTTTGTATATGTTGTAGTTGTCAATGCAGGTTGTTTGATTTTAGAGTTACTATGTATTAATTTTATTATTCTTTTTATTATTATTACTATTATTATTTATTATTATTATTTTTTTATTATTTTGAGATCTATAGTATGGTTTTCCTTGTACAAGGTGATTGATTTAGTATTATTACAGGTCATTAAATGCCTGGAGCTTGGTGTTTTAAGTAGATGCGCGGGACCATTGTGCGTGAGTGCTCTGACCTTGTGCGTTCTGGAAATGAGAGATTCGATGATCAAACTGCTTCGAGAGGTCATGATAAACCTCTCGAAGATAACTGCCACTGTCCAAAATGCTCAACCAATCTTAGAATTTCTTTCAAGTAAGTATCGACGTGATGCTGTTCCATTTCAGGTTGCGACATATGGGTTGAATGGAT